CCCATTTCTTGAAGAATTTTCCACAGTTTGATGTGATCCACATAGTCAAAGGCTTTAGCGTAGTCAATGAAGCAGAAGTAGATGTTTTTCTGGAATTCTCTTGCTTTTTCTAGGATCCAATGGATGTTGGCAATTTGATCTCTGGTTCCTCTGCCTTTTCTAAATCCAGTTTGAACAGCTGGAAGTTCTCGGTTTATGTACTGTTGAAGCATAGCTTGGAGAATTTTGAGCATTACTTTGCTAGCATGTGAAATGACTGCAATTGTGTGGTAGTTTGAACATTCTCTGGCATTGTCTTTCTTTGGGATTGGAATGAAAACTGACCTTTTCCAGTTCTGGGGCGACTGCTGAGTTTTCCAAATTTGCTAGAATACCATAACATTAACTCATTACAATTTTGAAGTTTTCCATAACAAAAAGTTATTTTTTATTTTTAGTATGATGTGGACCAACTTCAACATACTATAAAATTTAGAATGTAGGTCAAGGGCAGTTGTCACATAACTTTCAGGAACTACAGTCATGTGAAATTCAATTTGGCCACAAAATACCATATACTATATGATTCTATTTATATGAAATGCTCAAGGTAGGTTATCTACAGACAAAGTAGATTAGAGGCTTACTGACACGTTTTTAGGGTACTGAAAAAACACTTTAAAACCGATTTGTGGTGAAGGGTGGAAGACTATGAATATACTAAAAAACCATTGAACGGTGCACTTTAAATAGGTGAGCTGTCCAGTATGTAAATTATATATCAATAAAGCTTTTTTTAAAAAGTAATAAGTCAGAGAAAGACAAAAAACATATGATCATACTTATATGTGGGGTCTTAAAAGAATTAAACTCATAGAAAGAGAATGCAATGATAGTTGTCAAGAGCTAGGGGTTGGGGGAAATATAGAGATATTGGTCAAAGGGTACACATTTCCAATTATAAGATGAATAAGTTCTGAGAATCCTAATGTATAGCATGGTGACTATAGTTAACTATGTTATTATATACCTGAAAGTTGTTAAGATAGTAGATCTTAAATATTCTCACCACACACACACACAACAGTTATTAGGTATGGTGATGGCTTGTTCACTACCTTTATTGTAATCACTCACTGGCATATACATGTATCAACCATCACACTGTATACTTTAAACTTACACAGTGTTACTTATCAACTATAGATACAAATCTGGAGGAAGAAAGTAATTTTGTGCTTAATAAATGCTTTTCAATAAAAGAGGACTCCCCTAAAGATATATTCTATCATATTTGGACCCTAACCAGCATTTTCCTCTCGATTTCCTTCCTTCATCTACTTCTCGATTTATTCCACTGATCTCTTCTTTATTTTGTCATGTCAGTTCTGAAAGACTCAATTTAAAAGAGACTAACCAAAATAGAAAGTGAGGAGGAACTAAAAAGCCTCTTGATGAAAGTGAAAGAGGAGAGTGAAAAAGTTGGCTTAAAGCTCAACATTCAGAAAACTAAGATCATGGCATCTGGTCATGGGAAATAGATGGGGAAACAGTGGAAACAGTGTCAGACTTTATTTTTTGGGGCTCCAAAATCACTGCAGATGGTGATTGCAGCCATGAAATTAAAAGACGCTTACTCCTTGGAAGGAAAGTTATGACCAACCTAGATAGCATATTAAAAAGCAGAGACATTACTTTGCCAACAAAGGTCCGTCTAGTCAAGGCTATGGTTTTTTCCAGTAGTCATGTATGGATGTGAGAGTTGGACTGTGAAGAAAGCTAAATGCCGAAAAATTGATGCTTTTGAACTGTGGTGTTGGAGAAGACTCTTGAGAGTCCCTTGGACTGCAAGGAGATCCAATCAATCCATCCTAAAGGAGATCAGTCCTGGGCGTTCACTGGAAGGACTGATGCTGAGGCTGAAACTCCAATACTTTGGCCATCTCATGCAAAGAGTTGACTCATTGGAGAAGACCCTGATGCTGGGAGGGATTGGGGGCAGGAGGAGAAGGGGATGACAGAGGATGAGATGGCTGGATGGCATCACCGACTTGATCGACATGAGTTTGGGTAAACTCCAGGAGCTGGTGACGGACAGGGAGGCCTGGCGTGCTGCAATTCATGGGTCGCAAAGAGTAGGACATGACTGAGCGACTGAACTGAACTGAACTGAACCAAAATACAGCCTACTTTGCTTTGACAAGTTATTTTCAGGACTGATTCATCAAATGGATTTTAAAAATTAGTTTTCTTTCACTATCAAGTACAAATTAATGGTTGGTAAGGTATGCTTTCATACTGCTTTCAGAAGTATAATCTTCCTGAGTTTGCCAGTATGTATCAAGAGTTTTTTTAAAGTTTATAACTTTCAGCTAGTTATTATCCTTCTAAAAGTTTATTCTAAGGAGTTTATGAGAAATGTGACCAAACTCTTTAAGTATAAAGATACTCATCACAGTGCTATATTACCAAAAAATTGGAAGTAAATATTCAACCAGAGTAGAATGGTTGAATATATTATGGTACATTCATGTAAAGCATATTATAGTCATTAAAAGTAGTTTTTTCCAAAGGGAAAAAAATCATGGGACTAAACTGTATACATATTTTACAATGATTCCACTTTTGGTAAAAACAACACAAATAAATATATAGTATATATGCATAAAAAACAAAACCAGCAGCAACATGGCTGGACCTATAGATTATATTAAGTGAAGTAAATCAGAGAAAGACAAATTTACATCACTTGTACGTGGAATCTAAAATGATGATGCAAATGAACTTATTTATAAAACAGAAACTGACTCACAGACACAGAAACCAAACTTTTGGTTATCAAAGAGGAAAGAGGGGAAGTGATAAACTGGGAGTTTGGGATTAACATATATATACTACTATATAGAAAATATATAAACAAGGACCTATTGCATAGCACAGGTAATAGTAAATATTTTGTAATAACCCATAATGGAAAAAAATCTGAAAAACAATACACACACATATATATGTATGTATAGTAACATACATATGTATACAATGGTTCAGCAATAAACAATCAGCCTGCATTTGTAGGAGAAGCAGGTTTCATTCCTGGGTCAGGAGGATCCCCTGGAGGAGGAAACGGCAACTCACTCCAGTACTCTTGTCTGAAAAATTCCATGGACAGAGGAGCCTGGCAGGCTATAGTCCAAGGAGTCACAAAGAGTTGGACGTAACTAAGCAAGCATGCATGCATATATATATATATATAAATATATAATGTATGTACATACATTATATATATTAATATAGGAACTGAGTCACTTTGCTGTATACTATATACCTAAAACTAATACAACTGTAAATCAACTATACTTCAATTTTTTTAAAAAGTGTATCAACCAGGGCTGGGACACAACCCAAAACCAGAAGTAAACTCATAAAATTACTGAGTGGGGTTATCAATGATTTTTCTTACTTCATATATTTTCAAAAGTATCTATAGTAAAAAAAAAAACAAAACTGTTGCTATTTGGGGTGCATTCTAAGTCGCTTCAGTGTGTCCAACTCTTTGCAACTCTACAGACTGTAGCTCGCCAGGCTCCTCTGTTCATGAGATTCTCCAGACAAGAATACTGGAGTGGGTTGCCATGCCCTCCTCCAGGGAATCTTCTTGACCCCAGGGATTGAACCCATGTCTCTTATATCTCCTGCCTTGGCAGGAGGGTTCTTTACCAGGAGCGCTACCTGGGAAGCCCACTGTTTGGGGTAACATATGGACTTTTTGTTTTGTTTGTACTATAATGTTTGACATTCAATTGGTTAGTTCAATTTTAGTCACATTGTATTTTTTATATGTGTTTCTTATTCTTAAAACACTTCACATTTGTATATTCTTTCTCTGTTATGTTAGACAGGATCTAACTGAGGCAAACTCCAATTTTTCCTTATTCTTTAGAATCTTCCCATACTGCTCTGTCCTATGTATCTAAGGATCATAAATGTTATTGCAAAGTCTAGAGTGAAGATCCTAAGAAAAACATATCTTAATATCAAATCTTATATTTATGTGATGACCCCCACTCTGACACTACTGGAAACACAGAAGATTCTGAATAAACACTTGTTTGGCTGTAATTAAATGTTGGTTGGCAGCATGCAAAGAATCTATACTACTTGAACTGAAGATACATTTCTCTGAATCAATTTCACAGAATCATACGTATCCTTTTAAGAGTTGCAAAGTATCTTTAATCACTGAACCAATTTTCTTATAGGTAACAGCTTAGATATTAAATGACTTATCCAAATTTATACTGACAGTTAATGATGGAGACAGGATGATAGTTCAGGCTTTGGAGTTCTAAAGTACATCAATCCTAAATTATAAATATCCTTTATGTATTCAGCTTATAGAATTATGTATATACTATGATTTTAACATTAAACTTCACTCTTCACACAATATAATCTCACAAAGAGTCAGTGAACAGGTACCCTACAAGCATACCTCCTTGAAAATTCTAATCCTGGTAGTTCCAGAATGGATGAGGGAAGGTCTTGATATAGCTGGTTCAGTACAACCTGGAAATGCTACATTGGAGACCTGGCTCAGTGTGGACATCCTTGTTGCAAGTTGGATCTGGAAGCTGGATCTTGGGATCAGTTCAGTTCCTAAGCCATAGAAGGATGACTTACCCACTCAGCCTCCCCTGTCTCATGCTGAATCACTCTCAAAGGCCTAAGAACCACTCCATAGCATGTATACTGCAGCAGCCCTGGGCATACATTCATTGATCTCTTTCTTTAGAAGGAGGGAACTGGCCTGTGAGTGATGATTCTGCCCCCATTCTCTACTCTAGCCAGGAAAATGTCTAGCTCTTATCATGAAGTTGTTATAAATAAAGTCAGAATTCTGCTGCTGCCACCTAAGCTGAGGATATTATTTAGATAGAACACCATCCCCCCTTCTGATCTTATCCTCCTGCCTTCAGCTTTTCTATGTCCCCCACACCTCCTGCCCCTGGTTGCATTCTTACCTGTTTGGCTCAGCGGGTTCCAGACTACTTCCTGCTGCCCACATCCAGAACAGCCAGATTGAGAAACCTGAAGACTGGCTTGGTAGAGAGACTCCAATTCTGAGGTCTCCTGCTCTGTGTCCTGGTTCCAATGTGGATGCAAAATGATGTGGTTTCTTTCTGGATAGGTTACACAGGTATGGGAATCATGAGGGGAGGACTTCATTCCTGGCCCAGGGACCCCATGTTTAAGCTGAGAATCACACAGCCTTGTGACATTCACCCAAGAATCCAAAGGCAAGGAAGTCCCTGAATCGACACTGCTGCCCAGCTCCTTAGGCCCAGTATCTCTCACTTGAGACGGTTTCCCATGGTAAATACCTGACTCTGCCAACCTGGGCTGTCCTCCCCTAGAAGCTTCACCATTAGGCGGCCCACAGTTCATGGCAAGAGAAGGATGATTAGCAGGCTCTTCCCAGGAAGGCAGTTTGTTCCTACCATCCAAAGAGGGCTGTTGTTTTGCCCAAGACCAGTGGCCTTTCCCTTGACCCTGTGGAAAAGGAGGCTTACAGTCAGAAGGTGGAGAGTCCTTCCTTAGACTATTTGGCAAACTTCTATCCTGGGCACCTGTACCATCCCTGGTGGAGGCACCATGCATCCTCTGGAACTGCTCTGCCAAAGAGCGGACAAGCCCCTTGGTGGTAGGAAACTCTGGCATAGAGGGCTCCTCGCTGCCTCGGTCCATATTTGAAGTCAATGGAGTTTTGAGGTTTTGGGTTTGGAGGCATTGGTTAGTTTTCTGTACAGCATTAGAAGAGTGAAGCACAGATGAGGAAGGAGCAGGCTTTACGGGGTGGCAGGCCCTGTGCAGAGAAAGGCTAGGCTGAGCTGCTGAACTTGAAGGACCACAGCCTAGACTGTGCGAGTCTCCTCTCTCAGAGGTGGCTGTTATTCCAATTGGCTGTGACCAAGGCATCGCCAGGGATGAGTCAGCAGGATCCCTCTTTTCTTGGAATAGCTGTTCTTGATCAGTGTCTCTTCCTTCTTGTTGGGGGAACCTGGTGCAGCTGCTGTCATCACCCCTGCAGCTCTGCCGCTCATCCTCTGGTTCCCAACCATGAGGAGAGTCCGTCTCAGTTCTCCCTGGTGTTCTAGGTAAGCCCTGCCTGTGAAACACAGAGGGGTCAGCACTGTCCACCTCAACTGGAGCAAGAAGGTTCGAGGCAGACCCACGTGGGGAGCTGTGCTGCGGAGCAGACAGGGCGGAGGGCTCTGGGAATAACGGCGAGAGTGACTCATGGCAGGAAGCAGGTGAGTAAATGAAAGCACTGGCCCCAAACTCCGTATTCGTGTAGGGTTCCAGTTGGGCCTCCTGGCTTAACAATACTTGGAGCGGGATAGGCTGTTCACTGAAATAAACAAAGAGAGCCAGTCATAAGCTGTCTTAATTGACAAGATTACTTACAAAAAGAACTGTTCATTTGGTTTCCATTTCTAGCTATTCACAGAGGGAATGGTGAAAAGAAATAGAGAGACAAGCATAAGTAGAGTCAACAGACTGGAGGTTCATGAGAGAAGGCGGTGGTCAGCTCATACTCAAGTAACGGGTAATATCAATTCTCTTTATTAAATATCCTCATCAAAGTTGTACACAGTAATAGTAAGCAAAGCTCTTGCCAATATTCTTCATTACCTGTAAAGTCCCATTTCAATCATCCTCTACTTAAAAATTCAAAAACAAAAATTTCTATTCCCACATGCAAATGACAAGAGAAGGTAAGCAAAGCCTAGAGATCACTCATACCTAGGGTCCTGAGAGGCAGATCAGCCAAAAGAACCAGAAGGCCAAATTTACAGAGTACAGGATGATTTGGGCTCCCGGCATTAATAGAAAGATCAACCATTTCAAGTGTATTCTTATAATCTGGATTTGATTGTGTTTATTCACTGAGATGCTTCCCCAAAGTAACAAATGGTGACTCTCTTGAGATCTGGGAGTGGGAGTAGGGATTAAATGCATTTATTTGGTTTCTTGCTAATTGTTTTATATTTCTAATCTTTTATATATATAAGATTTCTGAAAAGAGTTTAGCTCCCTCAATTGCTTACATTCAAATATATCTTTGATCAGATTGTCAAATCAGCATTTAACTAGTAGAGTAAATAGGAGAAAAGAAGAAAATGGAAGATCCTAGCTAGGAGCATTAAATTTCAATGATAATATACTATAAACTTTTGTGGATATAGTAATTCTATCACCCTTATAACACTGTGAAGAATGTATTACTTATAAGGGAAACCTAATGGAGTCCAAAAGACCTGGATTTCAAATTCCATGCTTCTACCACTTACTAGCTGAGTAATCCTGGGTATCATACTTAGTTAATCCTCTCTGAGCCTGAGTTTCCTTATTTATAAACCATTGCTAAATAGTAATCCCTGTCTCCTTAAGGTGTAAAATAAAACATGAAAGTATTTAGCTTACTGCCTGGGCAAATATTCAAAAAATGTTAGCTTCCTTTATAATATTTATATTCTGAAAACTACTCAGGCTTATTAACAGCCAACATTAATTCTTACTTAATTCTATCTATTCTAAGTAACAGCCAGTTTCAAGGGCTAAAATGTAGGAACTATACTAATGGCCATGGGGACTAATGGGGACTTTTTTCCTATTCCTGACCATAGGGAAGAAAAACAAAGGGAATCTTTGTGTCTCCTCTCAGTCGCTGAGTCAGAGCAAGGAAGACTGCTTTCTCTGCTTCCTTAAGGGACAGGAGACACTGAAATCCCCAAATAAATCACATGGTTTCTACTGCAAAGTGAAATGCAACTCAGATTGCCATGTCTAAGATCATAATATGTACCAATTTAATAATCATGTTATTACACAAGTCCAGAGACAAACTCACCCACAGGAAATATGGACAAGTGGTCTATTTATGATGCTGTGCTTTCTGTATCTTTCTAGGAACTGTTAAGAGAAGGACCAGCAGTGGGATGAGCTTTTCATTGTATATCTGACCTGAGAGAAGAAATCTTTCCAGAGGACTCTTCTCTCTCCCCTGGAGTCGCCAAGACAATGAGAGCTGGCTATGGAGCACCCATGGTCACTTCCTCCCCTGGCGTCCATAAACTACAATGGTTCCCAGGCACTACCTTGTTGGCTGAGGGAGGGCTCCCCCCTGTGAGGGGAGGCAGGCTGAGGGCTGCGACGGCGGCTGAGATGATTGCTGCTGCTGCATGCGATCCTGCAGGCTCCGTGCTTTTCGAATACTGATTTGCAACTTCTTATCGACTAGGGCTCTGCTGTGCGTGCTAGAGCTGGCACCATGCAGGGCAAGTCTTAGTTTAGCTAAAATGCAAAAGAAAATATAGCAGAAACAGAACACAAAAATACAAACAAAAATAAAAAATAAAATTCAACCAAAAATGAGCAAAGTTATGCAATAAAACTGAAAATATGCAGCAGAACTACAAGGCATGGACCATGCATATGGTATCCAGGGCACAAGGCTGCCTCTGGTTGTAAGGAACATTCATGGAAGCCATGGAGGCCAAACAGGTTAATTCAAATTTAAAAATCAAACAAACAAAAAGCTAAACTAAAATGAGTCAAGAAGATAAACTGGTGCTTCCATCTCAGATGTTACCACTCTCATTGTCCTTTGCAACTGACCTGTCCAACTCTGGTCTCCATTCTCTGCTCCCAACTCCCCCTTCCTGACAGTCAACAGCAGAATTAAGATCCAAACCTGCATCTGTCTTTATAGAACACAGCTTCTTGTGGGTCATATTTAAGAACAAATTCTTAGTCCCTTGCTGTAACCCTATGCTGCAGCATACCAGGAAGGCAGGGGAGAAACGTAAAGAATCAAATATGCTGTAAGAAGTCACAGGCCTAGGAAGTCACAGCCAATTTATTCATTTCTTCCTGCCCTAAGCTCCACTGCGCTAGTCAGTAACTAGCACAAGAGCAAACTAACCTCGCATCTGAGACCTAACTTTATTTGGGGATTAGGAGATAGGTATGGCTGGATAGTTCATTTGTAGACTCCTGCTGAGATTTTTCCAGTAAATATCCACAGGCCACAGTGACAGTGCCTAGCACATTTAGAAATCTGAAAGGAAAAGATAGCTAAAGGGCCTCAGTTTGGGGGAGTGAAAGTAATGAAACCTAAAAGCTCTTTTTATCCCATCTGAGTGAATAACTATCATGAAGTTAGTCAAGTGCCATAGCCATAGCGGTTAGAGTTACTTACAGATAGCTTCGTTACAGAGAGCCAAAGCGGCAGCACAGTCTCCCTTCTGCTCCAGACGCAGCGACTCTTCAAACACTGACTCTGCCTCTTGCAGGGACCTCTCAAAGCCGTCATTCCTCCCTGAAAGGGCCAGCACTTTTCATTTTCATAACAACCTGTTCCAACTTTTCCTATGTACCGTTGTTTCCTTTCGGTGTACATAGATCCTCGCTGCTGAGTCTTTGGTCCACCTTTATTCCAACTGACCATTACTAGTAAAAATTCTCTGAAACATGTAGGACATCCATTTTTCTTTGCCTTAACTGAGACCTTACCAAAGCCATGAAGGAGGGGCATGTCATATGCCCACCACATATTTCAACTCCAAGACCTCTTAGGACGTCCCTCAAGAAAGAACAAAGTACTGTCTATAATAGAAGGGTGGGTTCTTCTGCCTGGAAATGACCTGCTTCCCCACAAGACTGCAACAAGATACATCTTGGCAATGTGTGTCCAGAACCCCAGATCTCCACCGAGACCTCCACTGTTGTGTTAAGGCCAAAGTGGCCTCATGACTCTGTGGATAGTCATGTGTAACACTTCTTTCCTGTACCAATTCACAGTCTTCTCTATACCACCCGCACCTGGAAACTCAGTACTCCTCTCGGGCACAGGTGTTCTACAGTCCCAACTTCAATATATCTCCAAGTCAGTGCAACCATCTTTGTTCCTGGTTTGCACGCACTTATCTTTCATCAGCACGGCTAAGTATTCACTTCTGTCCTGCCCTTGCTCACCCAACCTACCATAGAAGAGTCACCTTCCCACACAGTGACCATGAAATGTTGCCTTCTCCCCAAAAGTGAATATGTGCCAAAGCAGGTACAGGAGTTGAAGGAAAGTGCCAGATAAAGAGTGACAAACTACTATAAATGTAACTTTTGTAAAAGAATCCTCAAGTTTATGTACCCCACTGCCTTTTACTCACTCATAACCATAAATCAGTAGTAAGCTGTAATGTAACTTCATCTGTGATTGGAATTAATGGTGAGTTTCACAAGCTCACAAGAAAAAAGAAATCATATTATTTCTCCCATAGTATCCCCATCCTCCATTAACCTCCAGCTGGACATGGTAAGAAAAGCTCTTCCATACCCCTAACATTCACTCCTTAGTCCACTAATAACTTTTGGAGAATAATGGGAAGACAGTGGAAGTAGCATTTGGGTTCTACTCCACCACTAGAGTTATGGTCCCTGCGGTAGGGGGTACACAGGCCTGAAATTTTCTCATTATATCTGAAATCAACTGAATCTATGCAACCTTTATAATCAGAGGTGGTGGCTACAGCAATTAAAAAATGTTCTCTACAGAGACACAGGAAAACTACAGCTGGCCAATCATTGTACTAAATTATAATTCTTATCCTCCAGAATTCTTAGCACTCCATTCCTTGCTCTTCCAGGAGATGCTAAACCAAAACATCTGGAGAACTGACAGTGAAATACAACCAGAGGGACCCACTCTCAACCCTAAAGTACTACCCAACTGACAAAGGGGGGAGAAAGGCAAGGGAGGAAGATGACAAGACCCCTCTTTCAGAAGCAACATAAAGTTGAGACACCAATGTGATATAGCTTAAGGAAAAAAATCTAAGTATAGGGATATCTAAGAAATTAGGAAAGGTAAGCTAATTTGGAGACAAATACAAAATTCTGGGAAGTATAAAGCAACAATTTCCTTGAATCAAAAGACAGTAGAATTAGAGGAGAAAAGGAGCCCCCCAAAAAGCCCAGGAAGTTTCTCTGAGTGTTGATAAGAAGAAAGAAGTGATTAAGAGAAAGCAGCCACCCAAAACAGCCCAGGCTCCTGTTCTTTACACTGCTTTAGCACAATCTGCTGTATCTAGCTGGATGTTCTGAACAATAATTTATTTCATAGACAAACAAAGATATAGGTTTCAGGGCCTATTTAAAATAGATGCCTCAGCCTTTTTAAACTCTTATTTTGAAGGCTAGTCTCTGCTGGTGTAAAATGACATCTTAAAGCAATTGAAGAAAAAAGCAGTAACTAATTTGGGGCAGCCAGAGCAGCTGAAATAAAGGCCAGGAAAACTGTGTGAGGTTGGAAGATGAACCATCACAGGATGAAAAGGCAGTCAGCCTCTTGTTCTTAGAACCTGCTTGGTAGATCCACTTCCCTGAAGCTCCAGGTAGGAAATCTCAAGGGCATTTTTCTGCTGAGCAAGAAGAATTCCCCTCACAGTCAGTGTGGTTCACTCATTGCCTTTTTCTGCTGTTTCTGAACTGTGAATAGTTTAATTTACACCTTCTATAGCTGCTCATCAGAAATACTTTCCATGAATACTATACTATCTCTAATCTACAAGCTTTTAACAGGCAGGCCCCAAATCAGTGCCTGTCTCTAACCAACAGGCTTGTCACCTCCTACTTTAGTTCTCACTGAAACAGCCAAATTAAGATAAAATACAACTCTGCTAAAGAAAAGACAGAATTTATGAGCTCAAATACCTTTTTCCTTCCCCCTCTCTTTGTCCCCATCACCCACAACCTAATGCTCACAACAATTACCCTGATTCTGCAGTTCATCCAAGTCCATGAAGCGGCTGGGATGAGGGTTAAACCCTTTAGCTGCCTCTAATTCCTTCTCTCGTTTCCTCCGAAGTTCCTGCTCCTGTGCCCTTCTGGCCACTTCTTCCTGCAATTCATCCAGTTCAGTTTTGGAAGATATCTCCCCACCTGTAATACAAGCAAGGGAGAAGAGAAATCGCCACTTTCCCATAACCAAGACTAAGCACCTGCTATATTCATGGTCACCACACTGCTTTTTCTTGGGAACTCTTGACTTCAGTTTGGAATGCAAATTTGGATAGTGTTTTCCATATCAGATTCAGGATGAGGCCTGGGACATGAATAATAAGAATGATATTTATTGAACACTTTATAACAAAAATAACAACATAGCAACTAACATTTGTTGCATATTTACTATGTGACAGGCATAGTTGAAAGCACTTTCACCTGTATTATTTCATGTAATTCTCACAATACGTGAGGTAGATACTATTACTGCCCACATTTTAAGAATGAAGAAACTGAGTCACAAAGACAATAAATAACTTGCCCAAAATAACAAAGATGGCAAATGGTAAAGCTGAATTAAAGTCAAATAGGGTAAAATCGTAATCCAAGCTTTTAACTGTTAAAGAGCATTCTCTACTGCCACTGACTCACCAGGAAGTTTCAAGCAAGTCAATTTCTCTCCCTAAATTTCCACCACCTTCCAAATGAGTTTGTAAAATATCCATAGTAGTAAACCTTAATTTTATCAGTGTTCATAGGTGGAATCAAATAGATCTAAAAGGATATCCATGATAAATTAAGTGAAAAGCCAAGTGACATAACAACATCTATAGTATAACTTCCTTTTATTTATTTTTAAATGGTAGTAATAAGTTTATGTAGGGGTTCCCAGGTGGGTCAGTGGTAAAGAAGCCACCTGCCAATGCAGGAGATGTGGGTTCGATCCCTGGGTCGAAAAGATCCCCTGGAGAAGGAAATGGCAATCCACTCCAGTATTCTTGCCTGGGAAATTCCATGGCCAGAAGAGCTTAATGGGCTATAGTCCATGGGGTCGCAAAAGAGTTGGACACAACTTAACAACTAAACAACAACTACAATAAACATCATTATACTTGTACATAGAATACAAAGCATAGAAATAGATGTAGAAAGATATATACCATAATGGTAACACTGGTTCCTTCAAACTGAAGAGGCACAGGGCAAGTTACCAAACTGACTTGTGCTAACCTCTGTAATTATGTAAATCCATGGCTGATTCATGTCAATGTATGACAAAAACCAGTACAATGTTGTAAAGTAATTAGCCTCCAACTATAAAAATAAATGGGAAAAAAAATTTTTTTTAATAAAAATAAAAATTACAGTCACCAGATAAAAAAAAATAGAGTTTACTATACAATGAGGGTGGTAGTGTAGTATAGTATATAAGGAATTTATTCTAACTTGCCAAACATCTTTTACAAGTTGAGGAATCCAGTTGGTGAATTCTATAGAGCTAGTCTAGAATTAGGGCTATCAGTGAAGTCATGAGATTCAATCTTTAATGTGCTGAAAAGCTATCGGCTGTTAAAGAAAAGAGAAGGGAGAAAGGCTAAAGTAAGAGCACAGGTTTCTCAAAGCCATGTTAGTCAATATGAGACAAAATGTGGGAAATAAACCAAACCTATAATTTCATTAGGAAGAATAAATTTCTTCCATGGGTTTCTAACTGTAACCGATTCTAGCCCAGAATTTCAGAGATGATCTGCCCCTACATGCACTGCTCTGCTTTGCAAGATGTTAGCAGTATATGCCCCCCACTCATACCTGAAAGAGTTCATACCTTTTTATTTCTGCTGTATATCACACTTCCAGCCACGTCTAAGAACTTCCCGTGGTCATTAAGAGAACTGGTTGTCAAACCAGTAAAGTTCCTGGTCTCATCTCTACAGTTTGCCATGTAGTATTCTGTCCTCATCTCCCTAGTGAGCTGGCCACAAATCTATATTCAGATGCTCATTAAATCAGACCATAATTAAACTTCTGCCCACACATGCAACTCCCAATTCATCTAACATACCAGAAAAAAAGGGGGATGATGAAACACATCTTTCAGAGAAGGTTGATTTCTAAGTTAGACAAGCAGATCCCAGAAATCCTCAGCTGACTAAACAATACTGAATACATATTATCTTCCCTCAAAAATCACAAAAAGTCTCCAGCCTGGGGAGACTATACAGCTATTACCTCGATTTTCTGCTCTAAGTAAGGATCTATTTATTTTGCTTATTTGAATATGCACTCTAAGTATATATGTGTGTTGTGAAAAGAATGTAAATAGGATATAAAATTCCAATATTCCTAAAATTCAAATATTCCTTTATCTTTAAGCTTTGACTTGCAAAAATACTAGCTGCTCTTAAAGAAAGCACATTTTCACCCATTTCCAGTCACGTACATCTAGTGTGAAAGAGTCAGATCATCCCTTTATAGCTTCTTTGAAGGAGGGACAGAGGCACGTTCAAGAAGGAAAAACAAAGCAGGGATACTAGGCAGGATAGAGAGGCAGGGCTAAGGGTAGCTCTGACCTGCTCATTCCCAATTTTGTCTATCGTCTACATGTCCCCCTTGTTATCTCAATTCAGAGAACTAAACAATAAAAAGTCCATTCCAAAGAGGATGCCTCTCTACCGAGGGAAGCCCCAGGACTCATTCTTCTGAGGAAAGCAGGTGTTCCTGACACTGTTCACCATATTTCTGTTCCTTCTCGCTTCCACCAGAAGGAAAGGAGCAAGCAGGAGAGCTGTGATAGAATGACAGTGAAAAAGATAAACCTGGAGAGAGAGCAGATCAAATGCCTTCACATTCACATTCTGGTGGAACAAAGTGCAACTGCCCTCTCACTTCAAATGTGCTCAGGTTAGGCTGTTGCCCAGACAGAACTGGTAGTGAAATCCAGCTCTCCAAATCCAGTGTCCCTCCACTTACCTGAAAGTGGCTGATTCTTCATCCAGCCACTCCTAGACACAGCGGAATCTGCCTCCAGGATGCTGCTACTGTGAGACTTCGGGATGTGACGCCAGGAGGGGGCCAACCCCGCTGACCTCTTAGCACTTGGATCCCTTCAAAACAGAAACCAGAGGCGAGGGAAAGCATCAGAACGCTGGTAAATAGCAACATTCATAGGACCAAAATCCCTCCAAAAGCAACAACAAAAACCAAAAGCACCAAACTAATATTAAAATATCTGCTAAACTATTTATGAATATCGAAACACCCATTCGTTCCCCCATCTTATCTCACCTCATTCACGTTTTGTGTGTGTCTGGCACAAAATTTATTTAATGAATTAATAAACAAATGTTCTCATATAGACTGCCTTCCTCTTTCCTACACTTTTATAGCATCTTCACATGTGTAAAACTGAACAGGGTCTGAGGTCAGGGAAGAGCAGTGGCAAAATATGATGATACAGTTATCAATCTTGTAGATGATGTCCCTCCTTCCAAAGCAACTATACTGTTAGCAAACTTGTCTCTGAGGCAACTCAGTAAAAAAACAATGTATGGAGATATGAAATATATAAAGCAAATAGATTTTATGGACAAGGTGCAATGACCACTATTAAACTGTCATCATTATCTTATGGAATGATGAATATCATTAGCTTCATAAGACACAGAATCCTGGGTGAACCTAAAAAAAAATAGTAAAATAAAAGGCAGGAATAAATAACAATTGGATTTTCTCTCTGATCATATACAAGTTTTAATTCACTAACTCATTCTTTCATTAAAAGTTTACCAGTTATTTTATATATAATACTTTAAAAAGGTGTCTCCCCTTTTCCAAATGCCTTTGCTTCTTCCCCCAGCAGAGGGTGCTGTTGCCACAGAAACTGATAGAGCAGTTTGCTTGCCCACAAGAGGGTAAGACAGTGCATCTCTTTACTCGTGTTGAGTTAAGAAGCCTCTCGGTGGCTTAGATTTCTGTGAGGAACAATACAGCTATTCAAAGGTCAAACAATACCTGCAGACACTTGAGCTCTCAGGCAGGGCTGCATCCAGGCTGACAGGGCTGCTGCTGTTCCTCTCACTGCTCTCATAGCCAGATTCCATTCGCTGGATTAGGCGAGGGTGTTGCTCTAAAAGGTGACAGCCTGGCCGTGCTGGGCCCCAGATCTTGTACTGGGGGCTTGGTCCTCCAGTTTTAATGTTGTGAGCAGGTGGCTTGCTTGACTCATCTGGTGTAAATTCTTTTGCTATACCGATCAAAGGACAAGTGTGGAACGGGAGGTAGATTTAGCATCTGCCTCAAATCAAGACAGAACTAACCCCTCCCTCTAGTGACTCATTCATTGAGCTCATAGGCCACTCAGGAGGGTAAAATTTTTACCCTTCTACGTAAAAATGTACCTTGCCAAGTCTACCAGAAAACCCAGGCTTTTTTTTTTTTTTTAATATATAAATCCACTTTATTCAAAAGCTCAATTCTTCCCTAATTATCTTCTCACCTGAATCTTCAGAAAAGGGGCTAAGCTGGGTATAGCCACTGTGCTTCCTTTTGTCCTTACTAAAGATACTGTCGATATTCAGAGCCTCCCGCCTGGGCCTCCATGTCGGACGATACTTGCTGGAAGAACTGGATTTGGACTCGCTGCTGGTGCTCTCTACTTCCCAATCACGAGCGTGCAAAGGCAGGCTCCGAGCAGGTTTCCTGTCAGTCTGTTCTCCTCCCCTCCCCACACAAGGAGGTCCCAGGGTGGTCTGAGAAGCCAGGGATGGTCTGTTATGGATCATATTGCTGACTGTCTCTTTAAAATCCCTTAGCCTGTTGGTGCTGCTGGATGATTTGGAGGCATTCCTAGGAGCCTGCTTCTCTTTCAGTGTTTCTCCTAAAAACACAAAGAATGAAACAACTACAAATGTTTAAAGTCATCATGGATACCCAGACCCCAGAGTCGAAAAAGGAAGGCCTTTGAGCAGAGAAAAGAAGCCAGAGACTGAAACGCGACACAAGCGAGACAGAGTAAAGAAAGAAAGAGAAGCTATGCAGGGAGGCTTGCCTTCACTGTGGTACCCTGAGGCCTGAGACTCATCGCCTTTCCTCCTGACCCGGCCAGAGCTCCTCTTGCGCTCTATCAGTGACCCTTTCTTGGATGGGAGTTTCTGATTACATTCACTATCAGTCAGGTGTCCTGAAGGAAACAAGGAAATGAGGGTAAGTTGGTACCTGAGACTGACCTCCATCCATTTGAGAACCTACTCTCCCTTTGGGATTCATGGCAGCATCACCAGACTTAGGGGATCAGAAGCTGTAGAGCCCAAAACTATGCATCTGATCTAAGTGCAGCAGGAATCTCTCAGTAGACAAAGGCAGAAAAGCTCAAGTATTTATTAGGAATTTCCAAATTTACAGTGTCTCCTGAGCAATGACCAGTCTCACTCTCCCTAGTATTCCATCCTGGTGACCCAGAAGGACGCATTACTTGGTAGTTTTTAAAAAGCAAAAGTTTTAAAGATTATATAAGAATGTCATGTATCAATATATTTTCATTCTCATCAAAAGAAGACAGAGTTTTCCATCTATTTATTTAACAACACAAATGAAGTGAAAGCTAATTTTTGTTACATCTGGTGCCCTAGCCTTTGCCCACAAAAGCTCTGACTGTGTATGGCTTTAAGACCCAATTCTAAACATTCCTTAAGTGTGAATCATCCCAAAGGACATTTGAACTTTGAATAATTCAAATCATTCCCAGCCATAACCCAAGTCTTACCAAATTTGACTTCACCCAGAGATTACACTTCATAGTTCCTCAATACTAATCTCGGGGAAACCCGGGAGATCTGGGCTCTTTTATGTAACTTGCCACATTTCATGACCACAGTATGTAAATGTACAATACTGTATGTATATATACATATGTATGATCTGACCACAGTCAGATTCTAAAGGTCTAAGCTGCTGGAAGCCAAAGGTGAATTAAGCAACTGAAATAAACTGGAATGTAGGCTTAGAGGAAACCCCCTAGGGTTCTCAAAATGTCTGAGAGCCAGCAGAAATCTGCTTTCATATGCCAGTTGTGAAAATCCTTGCACATATTCAGGTATAAGATGTAATGATATGGCTACATATTTACAATCACTTACCAACACAATTTTTTATTGTTTTTATCTAATAATTTGCAATCTCTGGGCTGATAAGAAAGATCTAAGAAAGGAGGAAATCAACTGGAACAACTAAATCCACAAATGTTAAACCAATGTGCATGCTTCCCCAACCTCAGCCATTCACAAACCCTTAAAATAAACCTGACTCTCCTCATTTATCCTGTGACTTGGTTTCTCCCTGGTTCAGTTTCAGAAATATCATCTAACAAAAATCACACTTTGCCAAAGTCATTCATACAACAGTCATCAAAAGAAATCCAACATGAATCTAACCAAAACACTATATTCAACTACCACTTTATAAAAAATACAGAGGACAAAGAAATATGCTAAGGTTTACCATATAGACACAATCAGCAAAATTTAGAATGAGGAGAAACTATAGCACAAACTATCTAGTACTACAACAATAATAGAAAGGAAGAAATAGAGGAGAAAGCTGCAGATTAAAAGAAATACAAGATTTATCAGCCCATTACAATGTGCCTCATTTGGATTCTGAGTAAAAAAAAAAACTATTAAAAATATGAAATTTATAGACAATAGGATATTTGAACACTCACTGGTTATTTAGTGGTTTTAAGAAGTTATTAATATATTTTAAATATGATAATGGTATGTTAAACAATGATTCTTTTAGATGTATACTAAAATACTTATGGAAAAGGTGATATAATGCCTGGAATTTGCTTCAAAATAATCCATGAGTAGGGGAAGTGGGCAGAGGTACAGATAAAACTAGACTGACAAAGAGTTATAATTATTGAAACTAGGCGACAGGTACATGAAGGGGCTGCATACTATTCTGTATACTTTTGAATATGTTTGAGAATCTTTTTTTTTTTTTTAAGGGCATGCACAGGATGTAAACCACCAATCTGAAGCCATGAGAACACAAATTCCCAAGTCTCTAAGAGTATGGATACTGTTCTATGCTTTCAATGATGAGCTTTTCTCATCTCAGCAGTCACTCACTGTTCTTCCTTTTATACCCTGTAATGATTTCTTCTACTGACACAGGCACAATCTTCTATAGATTAACAGAACAATTTAAGAACGTTCTCTGCATGGAATTCACAATAACAAACAGGCTAGCTTTTCATCTTTTTGGTTCTCTGTCCTTCAGGAAGCCTTGCAAGGTGATGAGTAGGTTCCCCATCCATAAATACATCCCTTCTCTCAAATCCCTTTGGGATGAGAACACGATGAGGTGCAGGATCACAAGGGTTAGTGGGGCACTATGAGAATGAGGGATCAAGAGCACAGCAGGAGGAAAGTCTTTAGAAAAAGACTTCAGGACAAACAATCATATTATAATCACATAAATAATCTCATTACAATGATCCTTACTGAGAGGCTGCTGTTGACAGGCACATGTCCAGTGGAACACCATTGTTCATTCAGAATTGCATTGCTTCCTTTCATCCCACTCAATTACCCAAGTTCTCTGTATTGCCCCCTTTGCATGACAAACATTTCTGACTTGCCCCATTTCCCTTTTCTTGGGAGACCCTCTATGTAGAACTGAATAAGGCAGGCAGGGTTGACTGTGTTAAGTCCCTACCTGTGTCCCGACTGCTCTGAGACGTGGAATCAGTCTCCACATTATAGATGACTGTCCCCTGAGAATCAGAAGAGAAGTGACTGACCACAGACTCATGGTGGAAGTGTTTGTAGGGATAGCTCTCCGTTGAGGAATCTGTTCGAGTATCACTTGAGATGGAGGGCTCCCTCCCTGAGGGAAGGAGGAGACAGGCAGAGGTGAGGAGAGAGATGACAGTGACAGAGAGAGGGGCAAAGAGTTGGGTGGCAGTAAAGGTCCATGAGGTTGGAACTTCCTAAACAGAAGGATAAGAAGGATATACCAGGGCTGTTCTTTCTGACACCCAACCTCAGATAACACACACACAAATACAAATAATGCCTTCCACTCCTGCCCCTGCCTTGCTGAAGCCCTCAATTTGCCTGCCACTGTGAAAAACTGTGGGGCTTTTAGAAAGTCTAAGGAGGGAAAAGTATGAAGAAAGGAAAAAGCTGCGAAAAGTAAAATCTAATGAGATGGCAAGTCCCAGGCTGACCTGGCACACATAACAAGTTGTTTCCCTATCCCATAATTTTTCTCCTATACTGTCAGAAAAGTCACTTGTAAAAATTTCATTGATAGTATAAATTATAAGCATGTTTAATATGCACGAGACATTCAGGGGCAGTTATCAATACTTTGGTGTGACTTGGTCCCTTTAGACTACTTTCCTCTGAACTCCTGGCTGAGATAAGCACAACAGTGTGAATGGGTGTTTGACTGAAGGGAGAAGCAGCAGAGCAGGTCTGGGCGGGGTACCAGGGTGGGAAGAACATACCAAGTGGGAGGGAGGTACAAAGAAAGAGGAAGAGATTCCAAAGATGAGTCTCTTCTCTTTCACAATTATACTCAGGGCCATCCAGCCCTAGATCCCAAAGAGGAAAAAGAACATGACTTTTTCCTCATTTTAGGAATCAAGCCAAAACCATTAGGGCTGTATTTCTATTATAGGATGAATTTCTGAGGGACAGCCTGAGATCTTAGCAACAAAGCTGAAATTGTTTCCACAGGAAAACATGATTTAAGTTCCAAATAATTGAATTAGAAGTGAACAGCTAAAAAAAAAAAAAAAAGAAGTGAACAGCTAAGGAATATTGCTTCTGCACCTGGCATTTTAAAACAAAAATCTCTCATCCCAAACAAAGTGACTAACTTTGTAGTAACTCGGATCATTTTCTTGGTCCTAACAACTCACGTCACTGTTAAATTGCTAGTAAGAATCAGTAACCTTAGCAATATGAGATGGTGAAATAATGAGGTTTCCCTCATAAACTTAATATCTCAGTCTAAATCAACATAACTTCCTTCTGACTTTTGAATTGGGGCCAGGTGATCAAGACAACACGTTCAGACAACATTGAAGGAAACCAAGCCTGGCACAGCTTGGGCTTCAGCACGAGTCGGCAAATCTGCCTTATCTTCCTCCAAGCTAAGTTCAGTGCTAGGCTCATGGCTATGAGACCCTACTATCTAGTCACCACGTGGCCAGGGGGAGGGAGAAAAGTAAAGAGCTGGGCTGCTCACCTGAATCTTCACTATCGTAGCACGTCCTGCTGTATGACTGGAACTCAACTTGGGGGGGCAAGTCCTGGGTGGACACTGGGGTACCCTGGGGATCTGCATAAAGCAGCAGCAAAGGCTGATAATGCCCCTTGATGCATTTGGTCACCACATCCTTCCACTTGGGCCCAATCTGAACCAGAACAACCAGAAAAGCAAGACAATTACACTTCATGTCCATAATTCAACATCTATCTTTCTGTTCTATTTTTCTAAAGAAAAAGAGATGAAAAGACAAGAAGTGGGTAAAAAGACAACAAAAGAGATCATAGATCTAAATTTAACATAAAAATTTTTTTTTTATTTTTGGCCACACCATGAGGCATGCAGGTATTAGGTCCCCAACCAGGGATCAAACCTGTGCCTCCCGCCCAGTGAAAGCACAGAATCTTAACCAATGGACCACCAGGAAAGTGCAATGAATTTTTTGTTAAATCTTTTTTTGTGAAATCCTTTTAGCTAAAACCCTATAACAGATAGGAATGAAGAAGAAAATTATTTTTATTCATGTAAAACATCAATTCAGTTCTGAAATATGAATAGAAGTTCTCAAAGCTGAATATGCTGTGAGGCAATTTCAGTTGTACTTGGGGATCAATTTCTTTTCACAGACATGAAACAAAAGCCCTTGCTTGAAATCTGCATTTCTGTCATTTTCTCCTAAATATTAAAATCACTTGTATGAAGCTAGAGAGCACACAGAAACTCTCTCACAGACTGCCTTAGCATAAGCGACATTCCGTTTCAGAGTTCACACGTGGCAGGACATAAAATGTCAAACTGCTTAGAATGGACAGCTGAACCCTTCAGCTTTAGCTTTGTGCTGGATTCAGTGCTGCCGCAGCAGTGGGAAAAAGTGACAGGACAGCCATGGAAACAACAATCCAATCAAATCCCCACACTGACCCTCTCCTAAGTCTGGATCAGTCACACTCTTACATGGTGTGTTCTTACAGTCAGACAACTAGCACAGTGCTTATTTCATAACAGATGTTCAGTAAATGTATAATTGAGTTATTTTAACTGAAATACATTTATATGCTTTTTTCATACAAATCTTATTTACTATTTTATAAGGCATGGTATTATTTTTCAAATAAAAAAATCTAAAGCTCAAAGAACTTACATAAGTTGCCCAAAATTACAACAGTAAAAAAGAGACAAAGAAGAGAATCAGGGAATTTGACAGACTTTACTATTTGTGGAAGATATTACGAAAGGTCCACAAGTTGGTATAGATTAGAGTCAGCAATTTCCTAGCTGCTAACCTTATCACAAGAGGCTTTCTTACTCACATGGATCACTTAAACTACTTCAGCCACACACTCCATGGTTTAGATAGCACCAAATTTCCAGCTTTAAATATCATCATGGCCTTATTTTTTTTTTTTTACACTATCCCAAAACATGTTAATCCATGATAGAGTATTTCAGGGAGATAACTACTAGAGAACAATTTATAGCATTTCTCAGACAAAGCATTACTCACTGTTAATTCCAAGATTTGGAATTCTGAATTCTGTGCTAAGCTTATAAGCTAATTTGAGATAATAGATTGTTCTTGCTCAAATCAACCAATGAATGTATTAAAAAAGCCCTTTCAACTATAAATACAGAACTGTGCTGAATGCTTGGTGAAGGGATTCAAAGACAATATAGAAGATAAATTGATCCTGTCTTCAAGGAACTTGTTCCGTTGGGGGAGCAAGACTGACATTCATAAATTACAGACAGGCAGCTGGACAATAAAATTATGAAAATGAAACACTGAAGACAAGTAACTGTAGTTTTTTGTTCCAGTCACCAAACACGTCAAGAAGGGTCTGAATATTCCTACCTCCTTGACATGAGCGTCATCAAAATACATCCATTTGCGGATTTTTGTTTGGAAAAAGAATGTAGAGTAATGTTTGCCATAGTAACAGATCATTCCTACTAAGTAGAGTTCAGACTGCTTGGCCCGGTCATCTGTCACTCTGAAAAACAGCTGTGGGGAAAGAGGAGAAAGGAAAGAACAGTCACATACTCAACCCTCTCATATCATCTCTCAGAAGACTCCATCATTTCTTAATTAAGGTACTGACTTGCTTCTTGTTTTGCTAGTCCATATTATCATAAATAATGAACCTAAAAAGGCAGAATTTAAGGAAAAGAGAGAAAATGGTCAAACCGGTAAGGTGGTGATGTTTCTTCATACATGTTAATAATCTTTCTTGCTGGGTCTTATCCTAAGAGGAGCCAGGAGTGTTGGAAAAAGTAAATAAATAAAACATTCTTAAGTTTCAAAAGTTATTTATCAGCTGGTGCCATAAATACAAAGTTCCTGCTGCGACACTAAATAGAGGACAAGAAAGGCCTTAGGAGGAGCAATTGCTTCACACTGGTTACTAGCATTTCAATTCCAAGATGTCCAGCACTGTCCTGGGTACAAAGAGACATATAAAATGTTTGAAGGCAAGGATCTTGCCTTAAGGAACCTGTTTGGTTGAGAAAGCAATCATAAAAACAAAACAAAAGTAGAAGAGAAAACATACGCTACAGAAATTTAGAAAAAGTGAGCTTTTATTGTGCATAGCTATATTATGTCAGAGATTCTTTGGCAAGGAAATTTAAAATAAGATCCCAGTAGTCCACTTATTCTCAGCCATAACATAATGACATTAAAATACAACAAAGGATCTCCTTAGTCACAGGACCATCAGAGAGAGAAACCAGTAGAAAGAAAATTACAAACTTCCTGGCTCTTCTGAACTGAAGGAAAATTCTGGCTGGACCTACACTAGGATGTACAGCTGATAAGGCAATGACCCCATGTTTGAAGTCTGTTCCCTATTTCCCTGAATAGATGCATGGAAAACCTTCTAGAACTCTCTTCCAAGCCAATTCATTACCATGTCAACAGACACTGGTTCCTCACCATGAATTTAATATCTAGGACTCATGTCACCAACTTCTACCTCTTTCATCGCCCATAGCAGCACTAGTCAGGACTGCTTCCCTCTTTACCTTACCACCTCCCATGGATGAATACACTGGTATTAACTTAACAATGAGCAGAGCACTGGATAACTCTGAATTATTTGATTTTTTAAAAATTATTTATTTATTTTTGGCCACGCTGGGTCTTTATTATTGTGTGGGCTTTCTCTAGATTCAGTGAGTAGGGGCTCCTCTCCAGTTGTGATGCTCAGGCTTCTCACTGCAGTGGCTTCTCTTATTGCAGAGCAAGCCTCTAGGGTCTGCAGGCTCAGCACCTGTTGCACATGGGATGATTTGCTCTGTGGCACATGTGACTTTCCTGGACCAGGCATCAAACCCATGTCTCCCGCACTGGCATGCAGACTCTTAACCAATGGACCACCAAGAAGTACTGAATTAGTTCATTTTTATCACTAGCTACGTTCTGCCCATCATATTTTTCAAGGCCAAGATCATTCCATATCTTCCAAAAGGTCTTTGCCACCTATACAAAGAAGGTATGTGAGCATGAACATGCATGCATATGCATGTTTACATATACACACAATGCATTTGCTCAAAACTCTTTAATATTTGTCATTTAGGATACACCTTTGTGTTCAGAGCTCATTGCCCTTGAGCAATACTAAGATATAAGAACTCCAAGTGAGAAATACAGGTAATTAACACTCACATCACCCAGCTTAAGGCAGGTGCCCAAGCTGTGAATGACATCCTCTGCCAAGTCTGAGTGGTCTGAGTCCCATACCAGCCCAATTGTAATAATCTGTGGCGCGTTCATCAACACACGGCGAATCCGAATCCTTTCTCCACAGTTGCTCTGAAATACACATATAAGGTCAGTTTGACATGTTTCCCACTGGCTCTGCCTTAATTCCACTAACCCAAGGGCTCTCCTCCCCACTCTGAACCCCACACCTGACAACTCACCGGGCAGTTCCGCAGATCCCCCATGGTGCTGGCATTCTGCAGCAGCTCACCAAACATGCTTGGTGAGGGTTTTTCTCGTCTTTCCAGCATACAAATAGCCTGATTGCTTTGAGATGGGAAGTTGAAAGGGGATGATTTGGGGAGTTGTACAGAGTTATAGCTAAATCAAATAAATCATTCATGAAGATTCCTAACTCACATATTTGACTTCCCTCCTCTGCCCACTATGCTAAAACCCCTTGTCCTGATCAGCCTCAGTGTCCCACAGAGTAAGTGAGCCTGCTGGTCCCCAGATCCAAAGCTCATAGAATCCCCATTCCTCCTCCCACTCTGCTGGCCAGAACTGGGACTAAGAGAAGGCGAGAGATGGGACAGGAAAGGAGGAGAACAAAGGTTATTCAAAATGACTGTTCTGAGATCCCACAGTATAGCAAAGACTCAGCAATAAGGCTACAAGTTACCTGGGAGCCTTTGGTTAAAACCCAGGAATGCCTAAGAATACAGAGAACAAAACGCTGTAAGACTCACCAAAGGGAAGTAGTGGAGATATAATGCACCATCTGGATGAAAGGCAGTGGGTCAGAAGTGGCGCCACAGCTGGTACATACACACTAAGCCCAGGGAGAAAAAAGTGAAAGCAGCAGGCTACAGTCATTAATTGTGTTGGTGCCCATGTGACACTCTACATCCTAGGATAAAGTGTTCTTAAAGAAAAGATCTAAGAAATGATAGGGATAAAGATAAGGTTCACCTGCTCAAACAGTGTCATCGCAAACTTCTGGTGGGAGATGCAGTGTTGGGCAGTACATATGTCCTCTTTGGTTTCATCAGCAATGTGGAAGTGAATTCTCATCAGGAGGTTTTCCTAACAGGGAAGGAACAAAAGCAGTGTATCAAAAACATTTAACAAAGAAAAGCACAAATTTGTTGGCAGTTTACTCAGAGAGACAGAATCCTTCTGGGAGGTGAAATATCTCTGATATATTTTTAAAATTTTTAATTTGAAATAATTATCAATTCACAGAAAGTTTCCCAAAAAATTGTATAGGCAGTCCACGTACACTTCACCCAGTTCCCATTATAGAAGGCATCTTACATAACTATAGTATGATACTCAAACCAGCAAATGGACATCAGTACAATCCAGAGTTTATTCAGATTTCACTAGCTTTACATACATTCATCTGTGGGTCTACAGCTCGATTCAGTTTTATCACATGTATAGCCATGTAAACACCTCCACAATCAAGATATAAAACTGTTTCATCACCACAAACCTCCCTATGCTATCCTTTTATAACTTTACCCACTCAATCCCAACCTTAACATATTAGCAACCACTAATATGTTTTCCTATCTCTATAATTTCATTATTTTAAGAATGCTATATAAATGGGATCAACCTTTTGATACTGCGTTTTTCACTCAACATAATTCCCTTTAGATCATTCAAGTTGTTGCACATCAACCATTTACTTTTACTGCTGCATAGTATTCCATGGCATAGAAGTACCACAGTTTGTTTCACCATCTATCCATTAAAAGTATTCGGGGCTTTTTACTTTGGCGCTATTATAAATAAAGCTTCTATAAATATTCATGGATAGGTTTTCATATGAACATATGTTTTCTTCTCTCTGGGATTCATGCCTAGGAATCTAACTTCTGAATCTTATGGTAGTTTTCAAGTTTAGTGTTTTTAAGAAACTGCCAGGGGACTTGCCTGGTGGTCCAGTGGTTATGACTCTGCACTCCCAATGCAGGGGCATGGATTTAACCCCTGGTCAGGAAGCTAAGATCTCACATGCTGTGCAGTGCAGTCAGGGAAAAAAGAAACTGCCAAAGTGTTCTCAAGAGTGGCTAGATCATTATAGATTCCTACCAGCAATAAATCAGGGATCCAGTTTCTCAGGGGTACATTTTAACCTGTAATAGGATGCACATTACTCAGATTGTTTAACAGTTGCACAAAGAGAGCCTTCTCAAGATTGACGGGTGGCACCTGGAGTCGAAAAACGTGAGGGTTGTCTACTAAAAATCACCAAAAGTAGCACATCATGTTTGGGCTAAGGACTCAGCTACTCTCTATTTAATTATCTTGGGTAATGCAGGAGCTCTCAAAGTGTGGTTCCCCAGACCAGTAGTATCAGGATTAGCCCACCTAGGAACTTGTTACAGATATTCTTGGGCCCTACTCCAAACCTACCAAGTCAGAAACTCAAGAGAGCAGGAAACAGCAACTCATATTTATATAATGAGCCTTGTCTCCTCCGAAGGTGAGAGCTACTGTTTTGTGCAATGGCAAGCACGAAACGACCCTAAAGCTGAAGGAAAAAGAATAAACCCACTAGGCAATTCACGCTGAGAATGAATTCATACTCAGCAGAGACAACTTAGAGCTCTGAGAAACTAGGGAAATTCTAGTGCTAGCTGTAGAGATGAGGAACACAGTAAGTACCACGGTAAAGTAACAAGTCCCTGACGGAGACCATCCACAGTCTCACCCCACATCAAAGAGGGCCAGAGGCCAGCACTTACAAAGCACTCCGCGGCATCATCCATAATTCCCAGCTGGAAACGCTGCTCATCCTGAAAAGTCTTTGCCAGAGCACTGCGGAGAGTGTCAGATGGAAGCACTTTCTCACTACTGCACTGAAACTGGTTAAAGATCCCCTGTGGAGAAGAGGTTAGACAAGGGGAAAAGCACAGTGCTGTTACTCAGCTTCTCTGCATCCCAGCCTGTCATGCTAGCAACTCCATGCTTATAGCTATGGAACCAAATGAACCTTCCAGGAGTTGATATGCCTGCAGTAAGTAAGAAAAAAAGTAAAAAACAAGATTCACACGAATGGGCATGACATGCGCTCATAAGGATCCTTGCTCTTCCGAGTGTGATATACCATTAAGGACACATTAGGAGAGACTGTTGTCATGCATTAAAGAAATGCAGTCACCTCATTTCCTCTGATATATAAAGAAATAAATGGTCTGTAGTAAATAAAGATAAAATATATGTCAATAAACTGGTTAATTACTCTCTGGTGGCTCATCCTATGAAATCTGGCCCTCTTCCTTTAAACTGTTTAGCTACTATAAAATTACCCAAAAGTAAAAGGAATAATATAACAAATACATACACATCTAACACTCAGAAATAAACATTCTATCACGCTTACTTCTAATCTGCAGATAAAGCTAAAGTCCCCTTTAAGACCAGTCACTCACTATCATGAGTTCATAGCATAATCTTTTGTTTTTAATACTTTATATATATTTGTAAGTGTGTGTGTATTTATCTCTCAATAACATATAGTATGCTTGTGTGTATATGTTCCTGGTTTTATGTAAAAAGTATCACACTGAATTTTACTTTTTTTTTTTAAATTTTACTTTAAAAAAAAAAATTCAGCATTATTTTTGAGGTTATCCAAACATTTCATCCCTTCTTCTTGCTGTATGGCATTATATCAGGTTACTCTATCACATCTATTTACCATTTTTTAATTGACAGAAATTTTGGCAGTCTCCACTTTTTTGCTATTATAAAGAGATTATGGGAACTTAAACTTCTACCAGGGCATGAATATAAATAAATTGCCCCATATCCTTGTCAGCAATTAATATAGTCAAACTGGTTAATTTTAATCCTTCTAACTGCATTAGTTTTTCTGGGTCTTCTGTGAGTACTGCTGCTGCTGCTGCTGCTAAGTCACTTCAGTCGTGTTCGACTCTGTGCGACCCCATAGACGGCAGCCCACCAGGCTCCCCCGTCCCTGGGATTCTCCAGGCAAGAACACTGGAGTGGGTTGCCATTGCCTTCTCCAATGCATGAAAGTGAAAAGTGAAAGTGAAGGCGCTCAGTTGTGTCTGTGAGTACTACTTATAGCAAATACCTTCTTCTAGTCTTCTGGTATCTTTTGAGCGCAACAGTTTTTTATTTTGCTGTAACTAAATGTATCTGCCTTCTCCATCTTTACCTATATTTGAAATGTTTAAGGTAATACAACCAGTTCAAGCAAAACGGGACTAAACCTCAGTCTTCTAATTTCAAGTAGGAACTGTTTTCTTCACACTATTTTCTTAATATCATCATTCCACCTCATACACATTGAACATCTATCCCTATAGCAACTTGAGAACAATTTACCATGTACCTGGCTATTATTTGCCTATAAACAAGTCTATGATATGGAGGAGGCAGTACCAGCAAATCATATTTAGTATTATTTAACAAGCATGGAGTTGGGGGTAGAGGTCTCTTATAATTACTTTTAAGTTATTTCAGATTGACCTAGAAAGTTTTATAAAGTCTGTTATAAGATCAGGGAAAGGCAGAGCAAGATCTTCCATAATTTGTTGCTGGAAGTGAAAGAAGATATATCAGTGACCCCTTAAACTAGACCAAAAGGAAAGGTCTAGGTTCACAGTTAAACACTCCCAGAGAACAACTGGATAGACCAAGAGACCAATGGAATTTTGAAACTTGGGAAAACGTGAAGAAAAAAGGAAAAGCAAAGTAGGAAAAGTAGTGACTGCTTCTACATATGGTGATCTGAACACTTGATGATATAATGAAAGAGTCACTTTAGCATGGCCAAACTTGGTAACCACTATCATATTCCCACCTGTCATTCTTCTCAATCATTAATGGTAAGGCATCAATGCTGACGAAAGCTCTACCTCTTGGGCAAGGGACGGATAAAGTTTGGTCCTTTGTTCAGAGCCCACAATCAGTTCCAAACCAAACCAATAGAAAATTAGTTTCAGGACAGTTCTGTACAAACACAACGAATGCAAACTACAGCCCCTTTAGTCTTTCTCAACTGGGTTTCCTCAAGAATTAAGTCTTAATACTCGAAGGCATCAACAGCTCCTAATGAATTAACTTCTCTCCTACACATGGTACTAGTTATGTTACCATCCTAGAGAGAATTAAGAAAATAGTCTCAAATACTGTATGGCTCCGATGACCCTGTCTGAGAAAGGACAGAGCTCCATGGAGAGATGGCATAGCATAACAGCATAATAGTATGGACTCTGGAACCATATTATTTGTGTTCAAAATCCCAGCCCTATTATTTATCATCTATATGACCTCGGACAAGTTATTTAACTTCTCTAGGCTTTAGTTTCCTCTTCTAAAAGAGAATTAATAACAGTATTTACCTCCTAGGATTATTTAAGGATTACATAAATTATCTATTTTATACTTATATTTTAGACAGATACTTATATCTTAGACAGTCTGACAGTATGAAAGTGCTATCTAACTGCTAACTGTTATTATCATCACCATTCTGTCTGGGAGTTATTTTAGGTTGCTGCCTGCACTGACCCATGAAGAAAGGCTTTGAATCAGATACACTTCTACCTTGAGCTACCTCCTCAGTCTCTGAGATCTGGGTACAAAGGTTGAAACTCTTCTCTATTCTGCCGCTTGTATTTAAGAGAGGCTGATTCCCATGACCTAGATAACAAGGGAAAGAAAGACTTAAAGTCAGAGCTCTGCCTGCATCCACAGTGCATATGCAACAACAAATCTGGTTCTTGCGTTCAGAGGCATCATCTCCATCCTACTCTTTTTTAACCTCTTAATTACAGACAGCTTTCTCCATACACACTGAATATCTTCTCAAAATAGCCTCTGCTTGCATATTCTTTCTTTTCTTATTTCAATTATTACTGGTCTTGTTAGGAACAAGCATGTGCATCAGGGATGAAGCAGCCTAAGCCTGCCCAGCATGCATCTGTGGAGCCACAGCCCTGCAAGAGGCCGCAGCACAAAGCCCCTCTGTTAGGGCAGCACACTAACCCCTGTGTGTCCCTCTCACATGAGCACCAGGCTGGAACGCGCCTTCTCCTGCTCCCTTTTTCACCCTCCTCCCACCTTTCCCAGAGGGAGATCCTATTCACACCAAAGAAAGCCAAGAACATTTAGTTCAGCAATAAGAACAGGTGGTAGCACCAATAAGGAACAAAAACTGGTATTCTTCCAGTTGCTGAGCTCTATGGCAGAGAGGGAGAGAGGGCAGGAAGAATCAAAACCCAGGAATCATTTTCCTCTGTGGGATCCATGTCAGTTTCATTTCAATAAATAGAAAACCCAACTCTGAGGTTTCTCTCTGCTCTTCTTCACAGAGTGAAACCAAAGAGGTGTTCCTTTTCATTCTCAGGAAAAGGCAAATTACTTTTTGTTTATTAACTATTTTCTTGGATACAGTGCAAAAGCAACAAGACTTTAATGACTAAAAGCAGGTGCTTCCCCACCCATCTCTCTTGGATCAAGTAGCAAAACAATTCTACTCACATGAGCATATAATTATTTGGATTAGTAAAAACCATGTAAATAAGATAAAAGCGCCATAAAGACAGAAAGTCTTTGTACTTTGGCATGTACAAATGCAGCTGTTGCTTGAGATTTTTTTTTTCTTTCCCCTAAAACACAGACTTTGTCTTTAAGCAAGGAATAGCTGATTATTTCTCTCTCAGAACTTCCTAGCTTTGTTTCAAAAAGAAGTCATGAGTAGAGAAGATACAGGTCAAGGGAAAGGGCTGTCACTAAATTTGATGCTTTATGGGCCCAAGGTTTTTGGAAAGTGCCCTAGTCGGCAATCCAACTCACCTCTGCGAGGTGTCCAGCAATGTGATCTACAAAGGCATGACGCATGTTACACACTGCTACTAACTCAATTCTCAGGGTTTCTCTTCTTGATCTGAGCTTCCCAAATCTATAATTTTGGCTCTTATAACTATCCTTTTTTTCCCCACACCTCCTGGAAATCATACACCTAAATAAATCATAAACCTAGATATGGCCAATTGAGCCTGTTTGTAAACACAATCCTTTGAAAGGAAGATAAAGGAGCTACTCCTAGTGGGTCATTGACTGCTGGAAGAGAGAAATTTCACCCTAGTTTTGCGAGTTCAAGAGAAAGCTGAACGTTTTCTTTCAAGAGAGGAAGAATGTTTAAATGTTTACCATTCTGGCACCCAAAACAGTAACACTGGATTTTTAACATTTATTGCAAAGAATTTCAAACATATAAGGTTAGACAAAACAGCACAATAAATTTCTTTGTACTCTTTATCCATCAACAATTATTGGCCTGCGGCCAAGCTTATTCCATATATACCACCCACCCACTCACCCCTTTTCCAAATCATTTTGAAGCAAATACCAGGAGATGCCTCCAAAAAATAAGAACACTTCTAGCTTAAAACATAACCATAATACCATTACCATATTCTTAGAAAAAGGTATTCAGTCAGTTCAACAGAAACGCTTGCTCAAACTTTGGGGGAGGCAGAGAACAGCTGGCCAGTTTCTCGCCTGGGATTCTTTAACCTTATGTCTTAAAATAGCCTCTGGATTCCTAATTAGAAAATTACCCACATATCCTATATCAGTTCCTTTAAATTAAATTCAGTTATCAATACCATTATCTCCCCATGAGTTTAGGACTTTATTTGCACTCAGTTTATAACCTAAAACCTTGGACTTGCAGTGGTGAAGTAAAAGACCATCATAAACTACCTTTCATACTCATTCCTGCCACTCATACAAAAAAGACACCCATACACACACAAAGCCAGAGACACAGATAGAAATACCAAGACCTCAAGACACTGGACAGGTAGACACAGAGGCACAAATAGGCCAGATTCACCATGAA